GGGGGGCGCGCTTCCTTTCGCTGCCGGTCGGTTCGTGAGGCCCACTCTTCGCGTGCAGGGACTCTCGCGTCCCCCGGGGAGCCGCCGCTCGTTCCATTCCGGTCCCTTCCTCAGGGTTACCCGAGAGGAGGGATCCCGTCTTCTCTGCAGTGTCCGCGGGGGCTATGGAGCGCGCGGCAACTCCGCTCCTAGATGCCTCCTCCGGCCCGGTTTTTGAAAGCAAAGCCGCGGGGGCCCCGATAAACTGTGGCACGCGGGCAGGTGGTCCCGGCGCCAAGTCCCAGGAACCTCATCCGGCGCTTGAGCTGTCTCTGAGCTCAAGGGGTGCGCTCCTGCCTGGCAGCCCCCACCCAGAGGAGCGGCGCGTCCTCGGGGTCCGCCCTGCACATGCCTGCTCCGCGCTTGCGGCGGCTGGACAGCCCCGGGACTCTGTCTGGTGGATGTGTGTAGCTGGAGCCAAGTTGAAGGTGAGCGGCATGGGGGCCAGAAGCTGTGAACACTGGGGTCTCGGGAGGGAGACGGTCTTGTGGTTTAGAAGGACCCAGGCGGCTTAGCGCTCCCGGGGTCCCTGCAGCGTTCCTGGGGAACCGCTACTGCCCCAGCCTATAAGGTGTGCACCGAGGTGAACTTGGCTGAACTTTGCTAACCCGGGGGACTGATGACAGTCACCGCAGCACCTGTAGTAGTAAAGCAGACAACTAACTACACATGCAGGCTTGTAAGAAAATGAAGTGGATTGAATTAAAACATGTAAGTGGAGCCTGGCAACTTTAATTGCATGCCCTTGTTTTCCACCCTTGCCTACGTAAAAACGATAGAGCAGACTCATAGTCGTTATGAAATTTCCTCAGATTTCTCGCTTAACTAGGAAGAAGAATATGTGAACTATGCATTTCCGATAAGATTAGAACTTAAAGGAGTTTGAGTATTTATTGACTAAAGTAGATTACTCCAACGTGTCTATTGTGTAAATTAGATTCCTGAATGTAATGAACACAGCCGAATGGCATTTTTGATAAATTGGTCTACCCTGTTTTAGTAAAAATAGCTCCTTTTTACCATAATTTAATTCCTGTGCTTACTGTAAAACCCGTTATGGAGTGTTAAGAGACAAACCTTAATATTCTCCCTACCTCTTGTCATCCTAAATGTGACATCCTAGTTTTATATCAATGAAGTTTCTTTTTTTAAGCATCCTGGCAGAACTGCCTGGGAAATGGATTTGGTTTCTAGAGCGTTATTAGATTTTATGAACTTGATATAAACACACCTCCCCTTCCCCATTGATTAGCTACTTCTTCGGGGGATCGTGGGGACGTTTAACTGTGTGGCTGTAGGATTTGATTAAGCTTCCCTGGCATTTCACTTGAATGAATTTTATGTTGATCTGGAAAATGTAGCAACATCATACAAAATCCTTTCTCTGAGCAGCATTCTTTTTATAAACATCCATTGCTCTTTGGTGATAGATAAGGACTTGGCTTTAGATGATTTTCTGTGGCTACTTATTTGCACTTTTGAAAAAATCTTTTGGACATGGAATGTCTAAGTTCACGTATAAGGCCAGACAGACAGATCCTTTCTCTGGGTCCTGGGGAGGCCTTTGAGTTGGTGTTTGGTTGAGTGTCCACTCTAACAGTAAGCGAGCCATTGAGACTGCATTTGAGCGAGTTTATTAGTTTCAGACTCTTTTCTCCGGACTCTTAGACTGAAATGGGGGTGCTTACAAGCCCACTGCTGTGGCATTGTCACCCGAAGGCAAAGAGGCTGGACTTAGATAGACAGACTAGGTTAGAGACTTCAGTGGGTCTAGATGCAACAGTTCTGGGCAGTTCTCTACCTTGCCAGCACCCCACTGAGCCAAGGTCATGTTCCTGTCCCTCTGCTCCTAGAATCTTGAAGGCAGTGTGGATACTTGGAGTGAAAGAAAATCGTGCTCTACTTGCTTTCCTTTTTAGTCCCAAAGGTTTGCAGTATGGACGTTTTGGTGCTTTGGCGTTGCTACGACTAGTTGGACAAGTTTTTATTCTATCCCAGACTTGTAAAATCCAGACCTTTTTTTTTTTAAGTAAAAAATCCCACAAACCATTGTATAAATTTATCTTTTAAATACACGTTTGAAAAGAGAGTACTTTCTAAAACAAGCTCATGTAACTGTTACATGATTGTGGAGTTATGAATTTTTTGGGATGGGGCCTGCTATCCCTGGCTTCTCTTTGCAGTGCTGTCCTTGTGTGGGAACTTCTTTTCCCCTTTAAGTGTCCTCTGCCACGTGAGTTTTAAAAGTTACTCACTTTTTCAATATCAGAAAGCAGTTTCAGTTTTGCCCAATTTGTTTTCTGGTTGCTTTTGTTTTCTCCTGTGATGGAAGTGTGTATGTCACCAGCTGTCTAGACTGTCCCTATAATAAATCTTTATTTTAATAAAGGTATCATGTGCAGTAGCTTCAATAATGAATAAACAAATGATACTGCCACTGCTCTTTTTTTGTTGTTTTCTTGGTATCTTAGAGACTGGGTGTGTGATGGGCTCATTATCAGTTGCTTGAAGTTTTTGCCTGGGTGAAAAGTAAGTCATTGTAGAGATAAAGTTAACTATAGCACCTCCTGGTACAGCTAGGTGCACAGTGCCCTTTTGCCTACATCCCCAATTTCAGGTGTGTCGGTAATTAGCTAACTCAGGAAAGTTGGAAAGGAGACAAACAACCTGCTCCTCTCCAGAATTATTCTGTCCTAATCCTCTGAGCTAACCTTAAAAGTGCCGAATAGTGACCTCATTGAGCACACGGCCTTTGGTGGCTGTTTAAAATGTCTTCTGTTGCTGACAAATTAAAAATAAAAAAATCCCTCAGGGTTTGTGTGGGAGCTGTGGAGACACAGTAGTATGCTCTGTGATACCACAGTCTGTCTTAGTAACAAAGCTAGAAGTAGAAAATCCATTTTTGTTTCAGTTCTGTAGTGAAATGAAGGAAGGACAAATTAGGGGAAAATTTTTAAAGGAGAAATCCATTGTATGAAAACCCTACAAAGCTAGGCTCAATGCCAACCTGTGTTCCCCTTTCATATAGTTCACACATTTGGATCATGTGAATTTCACATACATTTGAAAGACGGGTGTATCTTTTGGGCTGTGGCACAAATGGTGTATAAAGTTCCTATAAAAGTTATTCTAATATATAAGATCATAAGTTGCTGTTAAATGAATAACTTAAAATAATTGTTCTCCTCATGAAAAGTCTGATTTTTATTGTTAAAAGACAGAAATATGTGTACCAAGCCCTTTTGTTTTGTCTGAAGTTCTGAGTTATCACTGCAGAGAGATAAATTTCAGTTTCAACTGAAATTTCCCTGCCTCTGGTTGTTTAAACCAGATCCTTAATCTTATTTTAACATATTTAAAGTGTTCAGAAAACCCGGAAGAATTGTTTTGTGTAAGTAGCAAGTGAATGTAGTTTAAACACTCAGGCAATTCTGGTATCTAATTGGAAACAGGTGGAATTCTTGGACTCTTGTATTGGAGTCTTACTGTAGCTAATAACAGGGACACTTTTTACTTGAGGTTATTCATTTTGTGGACACTGTAGAGAGGCCCCATAGCCTCTCTTTGCACCCCACAACTGTTTACCTGGACGTTCCAATAATGCTGGATGTTACAGAACTTGTCTGTGAATGTCTGGACAATGAGAGAATTGTGTGTTTGCAGATATTAGAGTGAAAGAAGAATTCTACTGGCTTTATTAAACAATTTATTATCTGTCTTGTATAAATTTTATAGCAAAGAAATTGTGAATTTGTGAATTCTGATTTAATAAACATTTATTGACCTTAGTGTGTAGATGCATTCTGTTATACTTTGACAGTGGTTTTAAATTCAGAGAGAAGTTACTTTCCTTAAGAGTTCTATGTCAGGCCAATGTAGCTCAGTGTAGCTCAGTGGTACCACACCTGCCTGGCAAGTGCAAGGTCCTGAGTTTGATCCCCAGTACCACCAAAGGTTGGCGGGGGGAGTTCTGTGTTTAGAGATATAAGCTTTTTTTTTTTTTTTTTTC